AATAAAAATAAAAAACATAAAAAAACCTTTATTATTTATTATTTTGTAATTAAAACTATAATGAAAAGTAAAAACATATAAACCTTACCAACAGTAATGGAAGAAGACGATACTAAAAAAATAAAAATACAATACACAACGCATCCTCGCGATTCTTTTACAATTAAAATCATATTGAAAAGTAAGAATATATAAACCTTACCAGATTGTTTAGATGACAGCGACACTAAATTTAAATTAAATGACATAATACAAGTCTCCCTCTCTCTATATATATATATAACAATATATAACAATTTTATATAACAAATCTCTTACCAATTATTGAAGTAAGGTTTGCTAAAGATAAAGAAAATAAAGTAAAGTTTTGGAAATTGAATAGAATATTTCTTAACTTTAAAATACAGTTGTTTCAAGTTATATCTTTATAATGATGTATTAATAATTTATACACTTGAAAATATTAAAATCAACAAAACTTACTCATAATACTAACAAGGAATACTAACACAACAGCATACAAATACTTTAAATGATATAGTAACTAAAACAATTCAAACTTAACTTACTGATTGTTTGTTCTAAATTGTCTAAAGAAAAAAAGAGTGACTTAATAAAATGTAAGTATTAAGTATACAAAAATACAACTAACAAGAAATAATACTGTTAGACAACAATCTACATAGGCATAATAAAGAACTGTATTAGAAAACTAATAGTAAATGACTAAATACTAAAATGTTAAATCATATATTAAGGATATAACTGACTGATCCTCTCTTAAGCAACTTTATCTAAACAAAAATTAAATAAACTTTTTTTTACAAAGTAATTTAAAAATTTGCATATAGTAAATCATTCATATATATACATGTATATATATATATATATATATATATATATATATATATATATATATATATATATATATATATATATATATATATATATATATATATATATATATATATATATATATATATATATATATATATATATATATATATATATATATATATATATATATATATATATATATATATATATATATATATATATATATATATATATATATATATATATATATATATATATATATATATAGAACATATATTATAATAGCATCTATTTAATAACTACCAAACTATTGAATACAGAAAGTAACTAACTGATGTTGTCGGCTGCACTTCAACTTTGGGCATCGAAAACAGTAAAAGAAATATTCAAGTTATACATAAAGGTTTAGGTAGTGGCCAGATAATTTAAAAACAGTTTAATAAATTTATATCGAAACAACTAATTTATAAAGATATTCCTTTTCAAATAAAGACAATGTTCAAACTTCAAATTAGATATGATTCATCACTAATTTGATTCACATCTAATTCTTATTATGAATATGATATAAAATACTAGATGAAATCTTTATTTTCTTTTTCTATTTTATTTCTAAATGAAATATAAAATCCAAGTCTTATTTTATTATTTACTAAAAATCGTTTTATTAAAACAATTTCTTTTAAATTTACAAATTTTTTAACTATATTTTTATTCTAAAATATCTAGGTTTACAATATCAATTTATGACATAAGTCAAATATTGCTAATATGAATACTATATATGTAAAATAAATATAAATAAAAACAATTAACGGACCCCTCTGTCTCCCGCGCCAACATCAGGTAAAATGTAACTTAGGTAACAAAAGTGCAGCAAGAAATAAGGTAACTGCTACAAATTATTTATTAACGAAATTTGGCAGGTGCATTGATAAATGAATAAATTTAGTAAAAAAATTGGATAGAAAAAAAAAAGACTATATTCTAGACATTAAATTCACCACAGAAGTACAACCAAAATTTTGACATCAATTAACTCGTTAAAAAGTTGAGTTAGTATAATTAAAAACCAATCAAACTAATGCTTATATAATATATATATATATATATATATATATATATATATATTATATATATATATATATATATATATATATATATATATATATATATATATATATATATATATATATATATATATATATATATATATATATATATATATATATTTATATATATATATATATATATATATATATATATATATATATATATATATATTTATATATATATATATATATATATATATATATATAAATATATATATATATATATATATATATATATATATATATAATATATATATATATATATATATATATATATATATATATTTATATATATTTATATATATATATATGGGAGCGCGTCGAATAACCGAAAGACCAATTCCGACGATTAGTCGATCCCAAAACCCGAAAATAGAAGAAACACTTTCCGATTTCAGTCGAAAGTCATTTTAACTGTAAAAAATAACATGTCTACTATTATTCACTGGTTGCCACTAATAATAGTAGAATTCTTCTAAATTTTGTCATAATCTGTTTAATACACGAATTTTGTACAGTCCAAAAAATAGTCGATACCCTAAATTTTGTCAATTTCTGTGTTTTAGTCGAATTCTGCCACTATCTGTTAAATAAACGAATGACAAATACCTGATTTGAGTCGAATTTTTTCTGAAGAATTGGTGGACTTGTTAAATCATCGAAATACGTATTGGCAAAGAATACAAACAGTCGAAAATGTTTTCGGCTATTATACGGGTATGCCACTATTTTAAGTAGAAAGACAAAAATACATTGTCCAAATCCGTTAACCAGTCGAAATTAAAATTCGGCTATTCTCTGTGGCTGCCACATAAACCAGTCGACGGCTATAAAAATTTGGCAGCGTCATCAAAAGAGTCGAATTTAATTAAACCGGTCGAAAAATTAATTAAACCATCCAAACCATCGAATTTCAACTATAACCACTAGCCTGTACGTATTTTGAGTCAAAATGTCAGGGTTTTTTTTGAAATAAAAACATTTGTTTTAACCGTCAATCACTTCTTATTTATTTACAAAGGTTTAGGATCGTGAATATTCTCACAATCCGGAGTAGTTTTACTATGAATATGAATATGAATTACCATACATAGTATTACGGTAATACGGTTTATAAAATGAATGGGCCGTCGCCTCAATAGCCCTAAAAAATGGTAATGTCTGAACCTATCGCGAACGCATCAGTTCATCATTGGGTACGGACCTTTGTAAGGGCCCGGAGGCAAAGTTGTCTGAAAGTTTTATCCAGGCCATCAATAACGCATCCATCCATCGATTGGCTACAGTTTGTTTTTGCCTTTCATTTTGTTGTTACCTGGATGCAAGTTACTTTTCGTTGTCGTAATATTACTAATGGTCAGTTCATTTGATTTAATTCAAGTTTAAATTCAGTAGATTATCAAAGAAAACATAAATACTTGGTCTATCTCATTAGTTGCGATGTGCGCCATCTGTTGATCTTGAAGATCATGGACAAGTCCATAGATAGCGCCCTCTGGAGATAGATCATAAAAATGACAAAGGTTGATGGCACAGGTCCCGGCAAATGTCGAGACCATTAAAAATAAGCAAATAACCATTAGGTTCTATTCGCCATTAAGGAAGATACTTTAAACTATGACAATCACATTAACCGTCTATAACGTATAATACTAAACCAATGATTTTTTTACTATTTTGAATGCATTTTATACATTACTACTTTAAAGTACAGGCAGGGTCTTCGTAACTAATAGTATGGACAATAGATAATTTGCTAAAAGTTATGTTGACAGTAGGGCCATAGTTAATTAAATAGTTTTTATTTAATTATAAATGGTTTAGTAATTCCAACGCCATCTTACAAAAAAAGAACAAGGTTTAAGATCGTGAATATTCTCACAATCTCAAAATATGGATTCTTCTTATTACTCAAAAAAAATAAAAACAATCTCGACCTGGCATCGGATTCGAACCCAGGACCTTTCAATCATGGGGCCGGTACTCTGCTGCCGATGCCAGCTTGAGATCGCAAAATTTATGAATGGTTTTATCACAATGATAAAAGACAAATAAAAGAAACATGGTTATGAATCATTTATTGTACTTATTATGCTTACGAACAACTTATTTTCTTCTGGCTTGCATTTGTCTGACTTTTCTTGAGACAATACGTGAAGTTCTGATTTGTTTCTTCGGTTTTGTCTGATTTTTCTGGCAACTATACGTCTTTTGAAGTATAATTTCCTTTCAATCTTCTTCAGTACTCTGTCGACTTGAAGCCAGATCTCAAGGGGTCCCATCTCAAGCCTGTTAGCTGTAGTGAAGTTGTTCAGTCCTTTTTCAACTTTAAGCCTGTCCTGAATCAGGAGGTCTTCAAATAGTGGGTCCGGTGCAATGTTTGTTGTTTCTGTAGTATTTATGACTGGCCAAAGACCAAATGCCAAAGGCCAAAGACCAAAGCTGTTCATGGTGAAAAAATTTAGCTTCAACTACAAATAGTTAACTGTTCATCTGAATAACGCGGATAAACTAGCGTACATTTAGCGTTAGCATCTTATCAGTTGTCCAAAGTAAATATGAGTTACGAATAACTCCCCCCAGATTAAGCACAGTGTTTTGAAAAATAACAAAAACAGATCAACCGCTTGTGAAACGGTCTATTTTTCACTGGGGGGAGTTTGTAAAAATCAGCTGACCAGTTTATCCTGACCCATTAATTCCCTTAGTCCCTTAAGGCATTTCTCTCTCTCTCTTTATGAATGTTTTTTTAAACAAAAAACAAAACCTAAATTTCGAATCCCTGTCAGGACTCGAACCCCGGTCGTCCGGGTGAGAAGCGAGTACTATAACCACTAGACAGGAACCCCAAAGAGGTTCCAAAAAATGAAGTATTTTACAGAGACCCCCAAGGGCTTAGCCTACAAAAGTTTCTTCTTCACCCGCGGTACAAAATGTACAAAACTCGGGAAATCATAAAAGTGTTATCAAAGGTACAATCTGTTTATTTAGTCAATTTATAAGAAAAATACATGAAAAATGAAAGTAAATGTAAAAATAATAGGAAATAGAAAGCCATTTCCAGTCAATTTTTTCAGGCGTAAAACAGCCGATGTCGCGAAGTAACCCGTGTCCTACATACGGGGCACAAATAGACGCCCTCGGGTTCATCGTCAAGTCCTTGGGCTTCGAGAAGGGCTGCACATGTTGAACAAACGCAGACATGCCCGCACGGCAGTAGTATTGTGTCCTTGGGGCTCGCCATGCAAATGCAACACGGTTCTGCTGCTGGACCTGCGGCGGGACCTGCGGCGGCGTGACCCGGTTGCTGTTGTCCATCTGCCTGTGGCCCTGCGGCTGCCAGGAATGCGTCATCATCTCTGTGTCTGAAAGTATTGAACACATTTTAAAGATAAGTTATTAATGAACACATTTTAAAGATAAGTTTCATATGAAATTAATCAACATCGTATTATAAATAAAAATTACTAGAAAATGATTGAAATTATACTTGGTATACTTACTCGTCAAAGACTTCGTCGTCATCATCGGCGTAGCCATCGGCGGCCATTTCTGCTGCCAGCTCTGCATCGGCCTCATCCTGATCTGGGTCATTCGGAAGAACCGGAGTGGGCACTCTGTGGGCCATAAAACGGAGGTGTTGAATGGGGGTGATTTCCCCATTGGCCAGTCGCTCCTCTTGATTCTTCACAGTTCTGGCCGCTACCTGGTTCGATAATTTGATGTTCCTCCGGATCCTGATGTTGTTGTCCAACTGAGGGCATCGATCTTTGCTGGCTCGATGACGAACATCCTCAGATCTGAGAGAAATCTCCAGATTGTCGACGCCTTTGCCAGCTTCAAAGATATTCTGAAATATTTGGGAAAAGTTATAAATAATGAACAACAAAAATAACCAGATCGTGAATATTTTCACATTGTTAACTCAAAAATATTGTTAAGAAATAACTCACTTCTTATGGAGACTTTCGCAGACGTTGTTGGTCTTATGTGCAAGACCGTACGTAGAGATCAGCTGGGGCCCGATGCCTTGGAACCACCACTTTAAGAAGTAATTCCTGTACATTATCTGGACTTGCTTCCGGAGCCTGAGTGGTTGTAAGTGGAGCACTTCTTGCTTCAGCTGTTGGAATACCGGTACCATTTGGTTCGCCGGTAGAGTGCTTAGAGCCATGTGTTTGAGCATCAGATTCCTAAACTCAACATTTTTATAGAAATCCTCCTTGTTGCGAGCACACACTTTCCGGAGAACTAAAAAGAAGTAAATAACAAAGATAAATAACGTGTTAAAAATCAATTAAATGGTTAAAATATTATTTACCTGCTTGGCTGAAGTGAAATCTGCATACAGACACTCTCGATTCCGGAAAGGCAGTTTGCATGGTGTTCAGGATCGCCCGTTCTTAGTCCGACATCACACTTTTTGGCTTGAAGTCCGATCCAACCAAAGCTTTGAACCGCTCCATGATCTGGCCGTAGAGTGCTTGCTCCTTGCATGTCATTAAGACATGCATCACCGCGACAGAGTAATCTTTGTAGATGACAATGATGTTCAACAGTTGAGAAAAGATATCGTGGTGAGGCCGTGTTTTAAAGGTGGCATCGACGAAGAGTTCTTGAGTCTCTGAAACAAATACCCAAAATTATAAATTTGCTTAAAAGTAATTGTACAAAGATAAAAAGGTTGTTGTATCTAACCCCTTTAAAGCAATTTAAAATTACCCAAAATGATAAATTTGATAGAACATAGTATCAAAACAACTCGCAAATTAAAGCAGTGTACTCACTTTCAACGAGAGCGAGAAGTTTTGGGTCTGCAAAAATGAATCCGACCTTCCCATTTCGAATTCGACGAAACCTTGGTAGATGTCTTCGAACGGATGTCCATTGTCGAGAGCTTCCTTCATTTCTGCCAGATTCTTGGGAATCGGAGGCAGGTTCTTCCTCCGCTTATTCCTCATGATGGACTCGGCAGCCTCGAACTTGAGGTTTTTCTTCACGGCCTCAGTCGACTGGCTAAGGACAGAGTTCCAAATGTTCCTCAGCGGTTCGGTAGTTTGCCCTAGAATAAAATGAATTTTTAATTAAAGATTTTAATTAAGTTAAAAATGTTAAAATTTGATTATTCACATTGGCAGACATATGTTTTCAGTCGAAATATGGCTTAATAAAAAATTCAAAAACAAATATTACCAGCTCGAAATTTCATCCGTGCCTTGGCCTGCAAAATAAGGTACTCATCACTCATGTCGCCACATGAGTGATCCTTCCCCAGGTACAGGGTATCGTCCTTAATCCTTGCAGTACCACCACATGAACCTAACAAGGTTAAATGGGGATCCCGTTAAATGTTAAGATACAATCATGATAATGGTAATATAATAATTCTAAGATTGTGAATATTTTCACGAGTTAAAAAAAGTATCCTATTAAGCAATTAAAAATTACCTCTTTTCACCGTGTAGCAATGGCACTTTAGATAAGCCGTTAGTCGAGCGTCTGTGCCATCCTTCGACAGCACATACGCTTTTTGGAACTCGTCGAACCAGATAGTTGGGGAGCCTTCCATTTCATATCTGGTGTAGTTCCGGACTTCAACAACATTATGAAAGCGAGCTGGCCCAACCACTGGTTCTTGCACTTGAGCCTCTGGTGCTTGTCGAGGCTCGACCTCCATCGGCATCGCAGCCTCCACCTCCTCGACCTCCATTGCAACAGGTGCCTGAGCTTCGACCTCCTCAACGGTGTCGTCCAGCCTCAATTCGAATGCAGACGTTCAACCACAGACATCAAAAGCCGTCACGAAAATGGTTGCTATTTCATTGTTGGTAACTAATTTTTTTTTAAGTACAAATCGTGGTAGACTATTTTCAACGTTCAACCACAGACTTCAAAAGTGTTGGGAATTAATTAGACGAAAGCTAAAATCTGAGATGACCCATACAAATACAACGCGACACATGTACCCTTAAAGGGAAAAAATATATATATATATAAAACCTAATAACCTACTCAGTACTCGAACATAATAATATGAAGTCATTGTACTTACAAGAATTTATGTTATGTAAATAGGTAGATAATACTAAGTCAAAGCCAAACATGTATAATTGAGTCCTAGTATAAGGCTAAGTACATGGCTAAGTAATAATTTCAAAACAAAAAATATAAAATACGAAAATTATGAGCTGTTATTCATTAAAATAAGTAATAATAAATCAAAAGAAGATAAAGTTAACCTTACCATAGCTTTGTTAAACGAGAAAAGAGAATTCATAACATGTGCAAATTAAAAAACTAAAGTGCATCACATGTATGACGTAAGTTGCGGTAAAATGGTGAAAAGTGGAAACAATAGAAAATATGCGTTTTGAGTAAAATTTAAGAAGATTTTTATGTGATTCTTAAATGCAAGCCGATTGGTTGACAAAATTGTCAGGTGTTTTATGATTGTTGTTCTGAGTTTGGAAGAAGAAACGAATAAAAAATATTCATTAAAAAACAGATTCTTGGAGCACTATTATATTTCAAAACCTAATTTTACAGAACATCAATTCCCGATGCTGACCCTTCGTCTTTCAAGAAGGCGGCAATCGACAGCCTATTTTCTCGTTGCTGCTTTGCAGCCCTGCGAAAGTTACTTCCGCGCCTTTTTCTTGTCCCACTAGTTTTTCTTTCATAGTGTGGAGACAAATCCCTCTTTACTTCCCTCGTTGCTCGGTGTCCTGTCGTTTATTTTAATATTGGAGCATGGTGTAGGGATAATGTCCTCTTTATTGTTGGTCGGTGTCGTGTCAGCTGTTTGAGGGTTCTACGGAGAAAGACACACATGTACATATGCACACAAACATATACACACATAGATACAGCCATACATATATACATTGATAGACACACATAAATGTATGAACCCACCCAGATACATACACACACATACATACTTTCATACATACACACAGTAGCTCTTACTATTATGGTCTTACCCAAAGGTTAAACTCACAGAACAGCATTAGAGAAGACAGCTGACCGATTTACCAATCGGTGATCGGTCCTCATTGCTAGCACCTTACACAGGGACTAGAGTAGCTGTACCGCATCAAAAGATGCAGTCGAATGAGTAATAGCTGGATTGATCACTATAACGCAGTTTAAGATTCCGCCATGTTGGACAGCAGCCAGAAGAACCAATTAGAACGAACCGTACAGTCGGGTAACCCGAAGCAAATACGGTTCATTTACCTACTGGCAAGAAGTTCCAATTGCTGAAGCCCTACACAAGGAATAAACTGGCAGAACAGCATGAAAGGACACAGTAGAATGAGTAATGACTCAATCGACTACTAATGTGCAGTTAAAAATTCAGCGGAGCTCGATGGCAGCTCAGAGAACCAATTAGAACGAATCGTACCCTCGGTTTACCCAATAAAAATACGATTCGTTTACTTATTGGTGATTGGTCCTCCTTACTAGCATCTTACACAGGGACTGAAGTAGCTGAACCGCATCAGAAGATGCAGTTGAATGAGTACAAATTAAATAACTAATACGCAGTTCAGAATTTAGCCGTGCTCGGCGGCAGCTCAGAGAACCATATAGAACGAATCGTACCCTCTGTTTACCCAATGTAAAATACCCAACTACATAATTTACGAATTTACGAATTAATTCAACACTGATATGCTTTTATTATCTGTTCTTTAAGTATATTCGCGCGAACTTGTTCTCAATATATTTACTTATAAATCGTCACTTTATTGTCTAGGAATGGTTGTTTATTATATATAATAGGTTATCATACTAACTGTGTTATGATATTATTTGTTATTACATTACCATTATTAGTCTATATTTTATTTTCGATAACATCTCTATTATTCCAGGCAAACCTAGAGTTGTATATATTATAAAATACTATCGCAGCCATAACCCAAACCCTTAGATCAGGGAGATACTCCCTTACGTGTTCACCCTAAATCAGTCGAAGGTTGGACTGAAGCTCTCACAGCTCCCTAAGTTATTATGACGTAATCAGCTACCATAATATCGGTACTAATAAAAATAATAAAAATTATTTATGTATAAAACGATAACACTAAATCATAGAAACAAGGTATATGTAAGTTCTAGACGGGGGGGACAGATATTTCTACTAAAACGGTAATTATAAACTATAATTAGGGGAATACGCATCTTTCTACTAAAACCAAACCAAAAACCCCAAAAAAGGGGGAATAGAATATTTCCACTAAAACGGTAATAATAATAAACAAAAAATTGGAAAAAACGAATATTTCGATATAAACGGTATTAATTGTGAACTGAAATTAGGGACAAACGTATATTTTTACTAAAACGGGCTGTCTACAACTAAAATTGGGGGCAAACGAATATCTCCACTAAAACGGTATTAATTTTATCTATAAATGGGAGGAAAACGAATATTTCCACTAAAACGGTATTATTTATAAACTAAAATTAGGGGGTAATGAATATTTCTACTAAAACGGTATTAATTATAAACTATAATTAGGGGAATACGCATCTTTCTACTAAAACCAAATAAATGTTGGGGGAATAGAATATTTCCACTAAAACGGGAATAATTTTAAACAAAAAATTGGAAAAAACGAATATTTCCATATAAACGGTATTAATTATGAACTAAAATTAGGTACAAACGTAGTTTTTTACTAAAACGGGCTATTTACATACTAAAATTGGAGGCAAACGAATATCTCTACTAAAACGGTATTCATTTAATCAAAAATTAATTTAATTAATAAAACTAAAAGTAGGAAAACCAAATATTTTTCTACTGAAACAGTTAAAATGTATTATCGAAAATTACACTAACTACCACAACTCGGATAACATCACTAAACTAAATAAAACATCACTAAACTAAACTAAATAAAACATCACTAAACTGAGTCTAACTAAAAAGGAACTGACAGGACATTATTACAACAGGCACCTTACACTGAATTGGACACTGGACAATATCCTACTCTGAACCTCACCTCTTTATACTGGACATCTGTCCTAATATTATAATTACTCTAGCACTCTCTAGCACTTACGTAAAATATTTCTATCTTCCCTCAAAACTATAACGGCCCAGCGTGTTCCAAACAAGTGGTGGAACTTTAATAGCTTCCACTGCGAAACAATTGAAAAATCAAAAGCAAAAGCAAAAGCAAAAGCAAAAAGCACCGCAAAACTACCCCGTCCAACTCGTCTACCTCTTCTGACGAGGAATCGGACGCTTCGAATACTTCTAGAGATTCAATTTTGAATCCTAGAAAGGCTGGGAAAGGGAAAGGGAGGAAAGGGAAAAAGGGTAAGGCTTTGCCGTTATCTCCCCGCACTGCAACATGGCGGTCAGCTTCAGACCGTCCTCCCGCAATTCAACAAGACATTTTGTCAACTTATGGTCACTATCAATTTTCAAAAATTTTGGACCCGCAAATTCGTGAACACATTGGGAAACTCAAACCCTCTAATTGGACTTTACTTTTGGCAAATTCTGTTGGCAGGTGTCTTGTGGACGCCTATAACCTGATTAAACTTGTTTATGACGGTAGTAGGGCCCGTCCCAAGTACAACAGCCCGCTTAGGGAGCATCTTGCCGCAGATTTACTTGCCGCAGATTTACCTGATGCCGCAGATTTCGCCCCCGCAAATTCTATTTTCAATTAAATTTATTTCACTTCTTCTTTTCATTCGCTTCTTTTTCAATCATTTTCCCTTTGTTTATTTCTTTCCATTCAATTCAAAAAACACAAAAACCAAAAAAATTTAAAAATCCAAAATCCAAAAACAATTTAAAATACAAAATCCAAAAAAATTTAAAAATACAAAATCCAAAAAAATTATAAAAAGCAAAAAACCCAAAAAAGATTGTAAGATGTTAATTAAAACGTAGAATAACTACGTAAAGCCGCAGTACGCACGCTCTACAACCTTTTAACCGGTAATTTTTAACATAATTTGATAGAAATTTTCAAAGATTGAGATAATATTCACGATCTTATAATGTTATTCATCAAACTTATTGGTTTAATTATAATCATCATACTTATTAGTTGCAATTTAGTATTACTTGATGGTTTTTCTTTGATTCTTTGTTCGTGTTATAATGCTAATCATCAATCAGATTGGTAGAATTTTACATTATTTTGTTGCAGGCTAATCCGGATCTTCACTTCACTGTGGCTCACTTCTACCTCCTTCTTCTAATGAAAAATCAAAAAAAATAAGAGGTAAATACTACCAGTTATTAATACTGAAGACATTTTGTGAATAGACACTGTTTACATGGGTCCCGTGTATCTCTGAACCAATATTCTAAAACTTAATACTTTTAAAATTCGGTTTCAAATCATCATTCAACGCGTTCGATTGGACCCGTTCGATTGGACCCGCTCGATTGGACCCGGAAACGTCTCTCCTCTTATCCAGACTTTAATTGGTTGAGGTAACAAACACAACGTTCTATTTTCCAATTACATTAGTAGTCAATATTACAGTATTACAGTAATTGAACATTTAAAAAAAGTAATATTGCGTTTAAACGTTTGCATCTTTAGTTAGTTACATAACAATTAAACAACTTTTCCTAAATATTTCAGGTCTAAATCGTGTCGACAATTTGAGGTGCCCGATCGTTTGTTCGTGTCTGGATTCGATAATCAGGATGGAGGATATTCGTTCTGGAACGGATAAAACAACAGATACAAGATGCATGCATGTGTGAATGAAGTAAATGAGACCCTTGGAATTTTTTTTCCTCATTTCTGAGGTTTTTTTTGTATACGTATGAGACCTTTGTGAAGTATGAGAAAGTATGAGACCCGTGAACTTTTTTTCCTCATTTCGGAATGAGGTTTTTTTAAATACGTATGAGAATGAGACCCTTGTGATAATCAATTTTTTTTCCTCATCATGTTGAGGTTTTTTTTGAAATACAAACATTTGTTTTAACTGTCAATCACGTCTAATTTTTTTACAAAGGTTTAGGATCGTGAATATTCTCACAATCCGGAGTAGTTTCACTAGAACTGAAGTATAATTTCGATTCAAAATACGTACAAGTTATAGTCGAAATACGATGGTTTGGAGGGGTTTAATTAAATTCGGCTCTTTTGATGACGCTGCCAAATTTTTATAGCCGTCGACATGTTTATGTGGCAGCCACAGAGAATAGCCGAATATTAATTTCAACTGGTTAACAGACTTGGTCAAAATAAAACAGTTTGATTATTTATCAGAACACGTCATGACAAATAGTCGAATTTCATTTTTCGACGATTTATAAATATTTGTCCAAATAAATTCGGTTAGAAATGATTTATGACAATACACAAATTTGACTGGTTATCGGAACAGGTTTTATTTCGATTATTTGACTGTATTTGACAAAATTATCAATTCGGGTAGTTGTCAAACCTCGTCATAGTTCGTTTAAAAACAAAATACGTCATTCGACTATATCACAGACTACGTCAAAATCGTGTTTTTCGTCGACTGTTTGTAGAACGTGCCAAAATCTTATTTTTTTTCGACTATAATACGGAATTTGTTCATTCGGCTATAAATCGGATTTTGTTTTTCGGTTATTTGTCTGTTTCCCATATATATATATGTACATATATTATATATATATTATAACATATATAAAATTATATATTATGTGTTAGTTAAATAGTATATTACTTTATTACATAAATTGTAAATTAAACCCACTAAACGAAAATAGTAATTTTCATCTATATATAATTAACTTTCCTATGCAAAAAGGTTTCATATAAAAAAAGTTTTATAAAAAAATTTTTTTGACAAAAAACGGGCCAATCAGAACGTAACAAAGATTCCTTTTTTTCAATGGTCATTGATATAAAAGACGTCTTTTTACGTCTTATTGTTGACGTACCACCGATTTACGTCTTTTCGATTTCTTTTTTAAAGACATCTTTTTAAAAGACGTCTTTAAAAGACTTTTTCACGTCTTTATTTAGGCTAATTCTAAAAAGACATAACAACTCATAAAAAAGACGTCTTTTATTCGTCTAAAGATATCTTTTTTCCTACTGGGTTATTTAAAGATGTATTTAGAAGTTTGAGATATTATTCCGAGTTGTTATTTGGTATAAGTGTGTAATAATCTTTTTTTTTTATCATTATCAGTTGAATCATTAAATAAGTATCGTATTAAATCATAAAGAAGTTTATCTTAAATTACAGTGAAAGAATAATGAAACACCATTTTAAATTTTTTCAAGAATGTTTTTCTGCAAAAATACTTAAGTATATTCGAATAAAATATAAAATACATAAAAACACTATTAAAAAAATGCATTTATGACTTTGAGCATTAGCAACATTTTGTTCAACAGCTCGACTGATATTTCTTTATCGCTTAACTTTTTTCCATTTCGAAACTTCAACTTTAGTTGGTCTTTCCATCGGCACTGGTCTACTACCACGTGTCAGACCTTCCCTTCGCCTCGCAGCAGCAGTCGGTTGCGTTCTAAAATGCCCAAATCTTCTTTTTGAGCATAATGCTGTTTTTAATGAAAACAGAGTTGCTAAGGCACTTTCTGTGATATTTACACTTTTTAGTCTTAGCTTTAAACTGTTAACAATTTTTTTAGAATTGGGATCAATTTAAGCTAAGCCTAATAACCTTTTAAATTTAAATATAAATCCTTCACATTCTGTATTTAAAGATTCCGAAGTTTCTAATTGGTTTTTATCTTCACCACACGTCCATGACATTGGGTTTTCAAAAAAAAACTTTTAACAAAATATTTTTTATATGCGTTTTTAATTAAAATTTTTTTTCTGGATGTAATATTTACTAAATCAAATGTCTAAAAAATATAAACTTTGCTTTTGAAACGAAAACGATTTTTTGGAAATTTTGTTTTAACTGTGAAGTGTTGCATTACCGAAACTACACAGATTGCATTACCGAACATTCTGGTTTTCGCTTATGAATGAATTTGAAAGGTCTATTTTGCAATGACTTTTAAGTTATTGTTTTAGGATAAAACTTATTTACTCTTTTTTACCCAAAAAAGAAAATTGATGTAAATAATAATTGCAAAATCGAACTGAAACTATTCAAAGTGTCAGAGGCGCGTTATAGGACTTTCAGGGTAAAGAAACGGACAATTAGTTAAAACAAAGGAAACTTTTTATTACAGAATACAAAACTATATATCGAACGTTTATGAAAATAATTTTTAAATGTATAATTAAAGCTTATAATACAATATTTATATTTTGAATACAAATTTCGCTTATTTTGAATACACAAATAATACTATTTTTGATTATTTTAGAATAAAAACTTTACAACAATTCTTTGAGATCATTTTTTTAATCTAAGTAATAAACTTTAAAAATTATTTTTAACCTAATTTTGACGCAAAAAAATGCACGCAGCAAATCATGGTTTTAAATAACCTTTCCAACAAACATTTTAGCGAATGCCTTAAGTGCTTTATTTTGAAGCAATTTTATTGATTATAACTAAATTTTACAAACTCTTGATAACATTTTTTTTATAGCAAAATTTATATAAACTATACCCCTTACAAAACAACCCAGCGAAATTCTAGCGAAAGTTCGCTGAAAATTTAAAAGATCACTGGACATTCACTAAGGTCACTGGGTTTTCAGCTAAGTTCGCTAGATTTCCATGGAAACAAAAGACTTTGCTGGAAGTTTGCTGGAAATCCAACGAAAAATTCCAGTGATGTTAAAGTTCGATGGAAGTTTACTGGGTTTTCTGAGAAATATTCCGCCGTTTTTCCAGTGATTTTAAAGGCGTTGCTGTTACAACTTCTGCGAGCAGTTAAAACTTGGAAAATTGATAATATATCTTCTCGAAAATGTATTTCAAATTTTTATAAAAGTAATCCGTTTTATTTTATTTTTTGCATCTAATAGATGAAACAACAATAACAGTAACAATATATTTCGTGCTACAGATGTCACAAAAACACAGGTCATTGCAAATAGTAATTTACTAATAAAGCGCAATGACCTAAATAAGATAAAAAATAATAATAACATTAGTAATAATATGTAATAAGTAAAACCACATAAAAAAATAGATTAAAAAAGGAAGTTAAGTTTAATTAGTTAACATAGTATTAACTAATAAAAGTAAAATTGCATAAAAATTTATTTAATTATACCAAAAAATCAGACTTTTTTTTTTTTTAAGTTGATTAAGGTGCTCCAAGAAGTCCTTACGGTCTTATCACAGAGCACCGCGGAAGAGCATTTAATGAGAAGTTCACGCCTCCTTCCCAACCGATGTCGGAAAACTTGCCCAGAGGTGGGGTTTGAACCACGGATCTTACGTTTCTGAGGCAAGTGTGCTACCACTGCGCCACGACTGCTTGAAATCTATTCAAATAATTGACCGATAAGACAATGTGCTATGTGATTGTAGAATAATTAACCCAAAATAACCCAAAATAAACTAAAAATTACTCAAAATAATCTAAAAAACCTATAAATTAACTGTAATAAACATAATCTATTTAAATAATATACCGATAATACAATATGCGATATGATTAAATAATAATTAACCTAAAATAACCCAAAATAACCCGAAATAACCCAATATAACGTACGGTTTAACTGTAATAAACTTAATCTCTTTAATTAATTGACCTATAATACAATATGCGATATGATTGACAAATAATTAGCTAAAAATAAACCAAAATAACCCAAAGTAACCCGAAATAAATCAAATTAACCCAAAATAACGTAAGAATTAACTATAATAAACTTAATATATTCCCATTTTTGACCAACAATTTATAAAAAGCGCAAATTAAGAAGATGTTCCATTAAAGGCATCCCGCATATTAAAAATTCAGTGGTTCAAAAAGTACTTATCTGAACATTTATGGAAACAAAGAATAGGAAAATAGGAAACGGACCCCTTTGAAAGCACTACTGATCTGAAAAATCACACGTGATTGAACTATTCAACAATAATTAATTTTAAATGATAAAATGATACGGAAAAAACTTCAGATTATAACAGTACTTGTTAGTTATAAATAAAATTTTAAACTTCTTATAGTTAAGTGCATATCCACGCAAATTCCTTTGTGCGGATTTAATTTCCAAATAGAATTATAATTACTTAAAACATTACCAATGTCCCGAAAGTATTATACAAACTGCTAATACTAATGTCCTAAGGGAAATGTTTGTATTGAAATCATAACAAAAAGTTAATCTTTTTAACGAATAGTGGAACAAAAAGCAATTAGTAAATATATTTACCGAATTTTTATGAATTCAACGAACTTCTCATGTACTTTTTGGCGACGTCTTGTTTAAAATAATTCTTTATTATTAAATCATATATTAAAAAGAAAATTTGTGGTTAGACTTTTTAATAGCTCTTTTTTCTATTTTGTACGACTTTCATTTTGTATTTATTTCGAAATGAATAGAATAAAGAAAGATCAAGTCAGATACCTTTGTGTAATGCGCTCCAAAGAATGTGGAGGTAGAACAATTTGTTATGGGTTATATAAAAAGTGGGTTCACGCAACCTGCCTTGAGATGAGTAACGAACTTTTAAATCAATGGAAAACCCCAAAAATGAGTTTTTTTTGCCAGACCTGTTGTCATGTTAAATATGAATTTGATTTGAAGAAAAGTCTTACAAGGTATTTTTAGAAAATTCATACACAGCAAAATCCAAAATTCTTGTTTTAAGCAAAAAAAGTCTTAAAACAAGAAAAAAATGACTTGTCCGCCACGTAAGAATATTTTTTCTTGTTTCAAGAATTTTTATTCTTAAAACAAGAATTTTTTTCTTGTTTTAAAAAGTTATATTCTTAAAATAAGATTTTTTTTTTTCTTATTTCAAGAACTTATATTCTTAAAATTATGTATTTTTTTTTTATTTCAAGAATTTATATTCCTTAAAAAAAAATCATTTTTTACTTGTTTCAATGTTATTTTTATTTAAAATAAGATTCTATTTTTTTGTTTCAATGATATTTCTCCTGAACTATAAAACAATATTACAAAAGTATGGAAAAAATATGGAAAAAATTAAACATTATTTTAAAATTAGGATGATATATAATAAGAATATTCAAAAAGCATTTACACATTTAAACAACAAATCTAATCGTTGAAATAACAAATTGTTCTTTGGAATGTTTTATTATTGTTCATGCTTGTAGCGGCAATACTCCTCCCATGTCCATGACAAGTGTATTCCAATAAGTTCTATCACGCATTCAGAAAATGAAAAACTTCATAAAATAATCTTTTGCCACATAATAATCACTTCGTCTCCATATTACCGATGGTTCTTCCATTTAGTGATTTTTAAATGATCTGAAAGCCTTTTTGTATGTCGTCTGTTTTGTACAGATAAGGATTTTTTAAATATAAAAATAAATTTTACAAACTCTAAATTTATATCTATCTATATATATATATATATAAATATATATCAGAGCCGTAACCACAATTTTAAAATTAGGGGAGCCTATATTACATATTGAGGTCTTTTTTTTTTTTTTTTTTCTGAGGTCCTAATTTTAGAGGCATTTTAAGGAGAGGCCCAAACATAGCATGGGAAAAGCCCCCAACTTCAAGAACTATAGCCTATAGTTCTTTTAAAGGAGGGAGGGGATAAAATATTTGTAAAATATATAAGTTTTTTCCTAATAATTGTAGTATAATAATTTTTTGGGGAACGCCTAGGCGCCCTGGCCCCCCGGTGGTTACGGCTCTGATATATATATATATATATATGTATATATATATATATATATATATATATATATATATATATATATATATATATATATATATATATATATATATACATATATATATTTAAGTGTTTTCAAAAAATCATACAAACTTACAGCTTTTTCTAAAACAATATGTCCAGTTTTAGTCTTTTGAAAGTAATTGCAGCAAGTACTTTATTAAGTGTTTCTTTTTTCTTTTATAGGAAAACCTTTGTAAAAATGGCTTTATGTTTGCCAATTGTAATCTGATGCCACCTAAAACAGTTTAAGGTCAAAAATTTATTACTCACTTTAGTTTTGCTAAGTTTGTATGTGTATGCATGCATACTTACCTGTATTTGGGTGGCAGTGGGTAAGGAACTGCCAACTTGTGTATTCCATAATGCAAAAGTGTATCAATGTCTTCATTCTTGCTGAGTCAACTGTGACAGAAGACTTTAATACATGAGCTATGTCACCAACAATCTGAATTAAATAATAATAATAAAAAAAGTATACAACTTTATAAAGCAGAAAAAACTTATAGAAAAACTCATTAGAGGACATGGCAGTTTTGAAAATACCTTCTCACTTAAAAAAGGATTTGTGATTTTGAAACACTATTACATTTTATCCAATAAATATATGAAATCACAAATGAAAAAAAAAAATCTTACTAATAGCGCATGAGGGAAACATTGATATTTCTCTAAAAATGCTGCAACTCTATCAACTCTTTCAACTGGAAATTTAATTACCCAGGTTAACAAATTAAAATTCTATACTTAGATCAATTAAAATATGGATAAAAAATGTAAAAAATTAATATTAATTAATAATACTAAATTTACTAATTGAAAAGTATTGTTTTCTTTACTTACTTTACTTTGCATGTATTTGGAAACTTGCAATTGTTTAAAAGAAAACACACACACATATATGTCATATATGTGTATGTATGCAACGTACACATGGATATTTAGAAATAGCACTAATACTAATCTTAAGTAAAAACCAATTATATAATAATAGCAATAGCAATATTAAAACAATTATAACAAAAATAATAGTAATAATAATATTGATAAATATTAAATTTAATATATAACAATAGTGATATGAATAGAAGTAAAATAATGTTGATATTTATATTACATATAATCATACCAAAAGCAATAATAATAACCCACAAAGAGTGCAGCATTTTATGAACAGTAATTACATTTCTCCAAAATAAAAAGACATAAAGATGAGTTTTAGTAGTAAAGTTTAGTGATATAAAGTGAACATAAAAAATAAATTATTCTATGAATAAAAAATGATAAATTATTTCATGATTTTATGCATTGGTTTGTGATGTGATTTGTTATGCTGTACTTAACTGAACAATGATTTAGAATATATAATTTAAGGTTGCTAAATGATGGAAGATAATATTGAGAATTTTTTATAGAAGTAAAGAAATTACAGATTGAAAGAGGTAGGGTAACTTGTGTGTGATTGCAGACAAATAAACAATTTAATAGATGAACAAGAGTACACAATTTGATAATTTTGGATAGAAAGAAAAGAATATTAGAATTAGAGTGATATTCTTGAAAGTAAATTATTTTAAATATCTTGTTTTTAAATTAGATATTCATAAAAAATTATAGGTTCATAAATTATAAGTATATATAATATATCATATTAGAGTGTTTGTAGCATGTTTTAGAAATAAAATTTATATTAAAAGGGATTTGCTTTTTGCTATTATAATCTATTTGACTTTAGAAAAATATATTGCTGGTTTAATACAGGTTTATTGATGATATTTCATTTATGAAAAAATTAGGTGCTAGGTTTGAATACCACAAACAACTTTTGGTCCAAATACTCCATTCATCACAAAGTTGCAGCATCAATTTTTAAAAAACCAAAATTAAAAAAAAGTTGCTATATAAAAAAGATTATGTCGCTAAGATTTGCAGCCATTTTAAAATCTCTGAAATTTCTTATGAACTTTTTGAACATGCACTCATAAACATAACGTTTGTAATTGACTGTGCATATTTATAGGTCTTTAAGATTTTGGGGCTTCAATGACAGCTTGGGGAGAGGGGTAGGTGGAACTAGCAGAGTCTTTAGCCACACAAAAACTCCTTGATCCATTGCTCGGTAGTTTATTTATTTTTGTTAAATTTATTTATTATAAAGAAGTGCACAACTTTGGAGCACTTCAAACCGCACTTATGCATGCTTTCACCCAGGGCCCGATCTAGAACAACACAGACTATAGACACAGGACAATTTGGGGGCCCCCTTATTGAAAAATTATGTGAACGAATAAATGTGTCCTCATTTATCGAACCCTGAGGGATGAAAGTTTGAGTTGACCTATGACCAGCTACCCAGAAATTAACCCGGGTTGATAGCTTTCGAAATCAGATGTTGCGGCCACCAAGAAGATTATCTTTATAAAAATTGTAAAAATAATTTACATTTAGAAAAGAAATTCTGTAATTTAAAATATTTTATTTCAGAAAAAATACAGTTAAAAAGGCATTGTTTTTCTTTACATGTCTTTAAAATAGCACAGATTTCGCTTCGAGCACTCTTATTATCATACTGTAAAATGTAATCAAAAATATTGAAGTTTTGCAATTTAAATAACTTTTTGGAAACAAATGAATATAAGTTTAAAACTTAACTTAACTTTTAGTTATTTAGTAGAAATCGATAAAAAAAAACATTGAAGTATTTGAAAATATTTCAGAGCAATAATTTAAAGTTAATGGAAATAATTTGTTTTAATAAAAAATAACATTACCATGGAAAATTGAATTCTAGTTTAAACTTTTGAAATGTATAGAAATATTAAATGAGCAATAAATATAATTAATTATATTTATATCATATATTCTGCTTAATTAATTAAGCAGAATATATGAATCGCTAACTGAGTTAGCGATTCATATATTCTGCTTAATTATACTTAATGCTCATTTAATATTTTTATACATTTTAAAAGTTTGAACTAGAATTTAATTTTCCATGGTAATGTTACTTTTTATTTAAACAAGTTTAAATAAAAAATAACATTACCATGGAAAATTAAAATTTTTTGTATATCCCCTTTTTTAAGTTAGAGATTCATATGTAAGTTCACTTAACTAAAGTTTTAAGTACTACTGTGGATACAAGAAACATTTAAGAAAGTATGAAATAAATTTAGATAGTTAAAACTTACATATATCTAAATTAGTATATTTTTTACCTTGATTTTTCATACATAAATTGATTCAGAATCTCTTCAAAATCTAGACTTTTTGTAACTTCGCTTTTGATAGACATTAATGCCACTAATCATCTTTATAATATTCATTTTCATTGTTTTCTAGCTCATTTATGAAGTTCTGAATTTCTGATTCAGCTAATTTGCAACCTTTTTAATTCATAATTTTTATGCTTTTTTAAGTTAACATTTGGCCGATTTTTCCGGACTGTTGTGGACCATATGTTCATAATTTTAATTCAGAAATGGAACAAGTTTATGAGATTTTGTGTAAAACATACTTCGGATCTAGCGAGACGTATTTCGGAGCGGAAAGGTTAAACCCAAACAAATCATCTTGGAATCATTTCAGTTCTTTTTTACCTAAATTTTTTTTAAATAAAATAAATATTTTTAATAATAAAAATAGTAGAAATAACAGTACAATAGAAATAACGTAACAGTAGAAATAAATATTTTATTTCTACTGTTACGTCAGAAAAGTTCTAATGGGCTAAAAAATTAATAAACACTAAAAATTAGGGGGCACCAAAAAATTTGGGGGCCCTAGGACCGGGCCTTACGTGCCTTGTGGAAGATCAGGCCCTGCTTGCACCTTACACTTAAATTATTCTGCTACTACGTCGCCCATACAAAAGATTCACATTTATGCTGTTTAGATTTATGCAGATTCGCAGATATGAATATTGCATTTATTAAAGGCGAATTCTATAAAGTTCTCGGAGTATTCAACTCTTTCTGGTTTGTATTATAGTCTTAATGGCGATCAAATAAATTATACTATTTAATTACATAAAATTATGAACACAAGGTCTATCAGAAGGTGGGGAGAATTTTCAGAAGAGGAAATTCAGTGGCTTTAATTTTTCTGCATTCTTTAATTTCTTCTAGGTATACCTGTAGGTATTTATTGATATATATATATATATATATATATATATATATATATATATATATATATATATATATATATATATATATATATACATATATATATATATATATATATATATATATATATATATATATATATATATATATATATATATATATATATATATATATATATATATATATATATATATATGTATATATATATATACACAAACATTCTTTGTATATAATATGTATACATATTTATATATATATAAATATTATATACAAATGTTACAATATTATAAAATTAGGAACATTGTTTTTTATTGAAATATCTTTAAATAAGAATGGAAATCTAAAATAAGAATCAAGTTCTTAAAATAGGAATCAAGTTCTTAAAACAAGAATCAAGTTTTTAAAATAAGAATCAGGTTCTTAAAATAAGAATCAAGTTCTTAAAATAAGAATCAGGTTCTTAAAATAAGAATCAGGTTCGTAAAATAAGAATAAAGTTCTTAAAATAAGAACAAAAGTTCTTAAAATAATAACAAAAGTTCTTAAAATAAGAACAATAGTTCTTAACCCAGAATCTTGGATTTTGCTGTGTAGTATTGTTTATTAGGTTTTATTGAAACAGGGTACCCATGGAGGCAACCACCAGCAAAGTAAAGCAGGGGCTTTTAAAAATTTATTAATGATGTTATTATACAATCGTTTAAAACTTTCATTCAATAAAACAGAGAGTGCATATACATAAGAACAATCGGAATCAAGCTTTGTGTAAACTGTCTTTTTTTTATTTTTAATGCTGACGTATTTTAAATTGAAATCTAAGCCAACTTTTAGTCAATGTTTGATTGAACTTTTATTGCTGAAAACATATATTGTTACCCCACTGCCTCGGCCATCAGATCTCATCCCAGGTTTGGAAGATTTATTTTCCATTTCTCTAATCAACAAAATGCAACCTCAAATTCTGCAGAAATACACACCAAGATCTACAACTGGTGATGGCAACTGCCTCTTCCGGACTGTGTCACTAGCTTTATATGGTGCTGAAGATTATCATTTGTATCTCAGGGTTCTCACATCCATTGAGATAATAAAGCACAGAAGTGAGACATATTATTTATATGGATTTATTAAGTAAATTTGAATTATAAAAATAAAATTTGTATTACCTGGTCGTTAATAGGAGGCTATTGGTTTCTTATAAATAATAGTAAGAATCCACTACTGTGGAAAAGTAACTTATATTTATATCAAAAACAGTTTAAAAAATGAAAAGCAAGGTAGACTATTATTGAATGCTCCATATTATAAATTGCATATTTGAATGTATAAATGTTTTTTTTTAGATTGCTATGATTTATCATCCAAAAAATATGCAAAAACAATCACGGAAACCAGAATTGAAACACCAACATATCCAGTGTTGTTGCGTTCTACCGTGTCTATTGGCGGATATAGTGAACTTATGCATATTTATGCATTAAGTGCTGCTCTTGCAACGCTGATTCATTCTGTTTTTCCTGCTGATAGCAGTTTCTGCAATTTTAAACATTCTTACAATGTAGTTGTTTATGGACGAGGAGTTAAAAAAAATACTTGTGCCAGTAAAGAAACAAAAGTGTACAACCATATTGTCTATCTTGCCAAGCGTCTACCTGCAAGTAAGATTGACTTCAACATTTTGGATGAAAGTCTTTCAGACAGAATCAGGTTGATAAAATAACATAATAAATTATTACTACAAACAACGTATATAGGTCTACTAAAACACAAAATCAATATATTTTATTAAAAAACAAACAAGTT